TGTGTGTGGGGGGGTGGTTCTTCCATCTGCTGTTTGCTCCCCAGATGGCTGAAATGGCCAGGGCTGGACCAAGCAGAAACCAGGAGCTTCTTCCAGATCTCCCGAGTGGGTGCAGGGACCCAAGCACTTGGGCCATCTTCCACTTTCCCAGGCAGTTAGCAGGAAGCTCGATCAGAAGCAGAGCAGCTGAGACCCAAACCAGCGTCCGTAGGGGATACGGCTACTGCAGAAGGCGGCTTAGCCTGCCTCACCACAGCACCTGCCACTGCTGTTGTATTTTCAACAGGAGTTACTTGTTCACACAAGGAAATGCGGCTGACGGGCTGGACAAGCGCACACTCTGCTGCCCTTGGGCATCGCACCCTGCGGGGCTCACACGCAGACTGTGCCAGTCCCTCGAGCTGGTGTGCCTAGGCTGACATCACGCCACTCGCAGGTGACTAGCTGGCCTGCCAGGCTGTCACACACACCCAGCTTCTCACCCTTGCCCTGCTGCAGCTCCGCCCACAGTGCAGGTGTCTGGGACCTGCTGTAATGGCTGCCATGCTCCTGTGCCCCAGCTAAGAACAGGGTGACACGCCCAGCACCCAGGCCCCCTGCCTCCCAGAAGACTTCACAGTGGGTGAATGCGCTTTGCCTTGGGCTTGCCCACAAGGGATTTAGAAACGCAGGCCTCTCTTTCAGCCTACATTTCCTATCTATGCTCATGGATGGCTTGAATGCTGCCCAGTGTTCCTCCACCCTGGCTCAGAGCCCTGCCTCCTACAGTGCAGGCCTGGCTGAGCCCCACCTTTGAGTGGGGGCAGCTCCCTGCTGTCTTCCTGTCTGCGCCACAGCTTGGGGAACTGAGAGTCCGGCTTGATTCCGCCTAGGGCTCCACAGTCTCTTTATCTCCACCTAATAACGCCAGCCTGGGAGCCTCTGCCCTGGGTTTGCTCTGGCTGGACCCTGACGATTGGTGCAGACAGGAATGAATCTGCCACGGCTTTGCTTGTGCCGTTTTGTTTCTCTGTCCGTGCTCCGGTGGGGAGCCCCTCCCGCCTGACGTGATGTGCCTGGGGAGCTGATCTGACAAGAGCCTTCCGTAGTTCACAGTCATGCTGTGCCTTGTCGTTGTGCAGATAGGGCCTGGGCAGGGCAGAGGGTCAGTGAGGAAGGCCCGATATGCTTTACCAGCAGTCTGCTCTTCATCTTGAAAATGGGGCTGAGGGCCAAGGAGCCCTGTACTTGCTCTTTCTCAAACAATAGAATGGCTACTGAAAACAAAGACAAGCATGCATTATGTCGTTGTATTTTCATTTCTTGCTTACCTTAAAGCTGGTTTTTGGGTGAGTGCTTGACACAACAGTTAGGGTGCCATGCATGATGCCTGCACCCCATACAAGAGTGCCTGGGTTCAAGTCCCTTCTCGCTTCTTGCTAATGCACACTCCCAGGGGCAGCAGATTTTGGCTCAAGTGCTTGGGTCCCTGACACCCACATGGGAGACCTGGATTGAGTTCCAGGCTCCTGGTCCAGCTTTGGCTATTGTGGGCCTTTTGGGAATGAATCAGTGGGGGAAAATCTGTCTTTGTCTCTGCCTCTGTCTCTTTGCCCTTCAAATAAATAGTAAAAAGTTTACAAAACTATGGCCGGCACTGAGGCTCACTAGGCTAATCCTCCGCCTTGCGGCGCCAGCACACCGGGTTCTAGTCCCGGTCGGGGCGCAGGATTCTGTCCCGGTTGCCCCTCTTCCAGGCCAGCTCTCTGCTATGGCCCGGGAGTGCAGTGGAGGATGGCTCAAGTCCTTGGGCCCTGTACCCCATGGGAGACCAGGAGAAGCACCTGGCTCCTACCTTCGGATCAGCGTGGTGCACCTGCCGCAGTGCTCTGTCTGCGGCGGCCATTGGAGGGTGAACCAACGGCAAAAGGAAGACCTTTCTCTCTGTCTCTCTCTCTCTCACTGTCCACTCTGCCTGTCAAAAAAAAAAAAAAAGTTTATAAAACTAAAATAAAATCTTAGCGGGAAGGAGGAAGTGAGGAATGGAATACCATTAATGTTTTTTGTATCTACGAATCATATTGAATCTTAAAAACTATTCAAAAATTTAATAAATAAATAAAGAACAAAATACACAGGAATCAAACAAATAAAATAAAGCCTTGATTTTTTTAAAACATAAAATAAAGGCAATATTGTAAGTGGTAGGATAAGACTTTATTTTAGAAAGAATATTCGGGGCCGATGCTGTGGCGCAGTGAGTTAACGCCCTGGCCTGCAATGCCGGCATCCCATATGGGCACTGGTTCGAGACCTGGATGCTCCACTTCCGATCCAGCTCTCTTCTATGGCCTGGGAAAACAGTTGAAGATGACCCAAGTCCTTGGGCCCCTGCACCCGTGTTGCTGCCAGTTGGGGAGTGAACCATCGGATGGAAAGCCTCTCTATCTCTCTCTCTCTCTACCTCTCCTCTCTCTGTGTAACTCTGACTTGCAAATTAATAAATAAATCCTTAAAAAATAAAATAACCTAAAAAAAGAAGGAATATTCATTTTCTCAGGGAAATTTTGTTGTACAATAATTTTTTCATTGAAATAGTTTCTTGGGGGAAATACTTATTTCTAAGCTAGAGCATGTTGTCATAATGCTCAATTTTCTAGCATTTCTAGAATTTTATTCTTGGAAGTCTTGCCCTTCTGTGGTGTGCATAAGGATTTTTCAGTTCTGAACAAGATCCAGTTACTTTATTGCTTTATTAACCAATTAGGAAATAAAATTCTAATTTCAGAATTTTGTCCATCTTGAGAATCTGCCAGCACTTTCCACATCATTACAGACAAGTGTGATCTAAAACTTTCCTTCCAGGGGTAGATTCGTGTTTGATTTGCATGAAAACCCCAGTTGTGGGTTTATTGATGTTCATTTTTAAATATGAAGTAGGAGAAGTAGTAACTTAAGGGAGTGTTTGGTTTTGTGAAGCATGGTTTTTTTGATGGAAATGTTTCCTGTGAATTATGTACAAGTGGCAGCTTTGCAAAAACATAGTACTTAGAGCACAACATGCATCTCAACGAAAACCCTGCAAGACATCGTCTTGTTAGTGGGCGTGCGCTTGGTCTAGCAGTGAATTCACTGGTCAGGATGCCCATGATCCACATCGGAATACCCGGATTCAACTTTCAGTTCCATTTCCTGACTCCGGCTTTCTGCTAATGTGGACACGCAGGCAGCAAGGATGACTAAAGTAACTGGGTTCCTGCTATCCCCAAGGGAGACCTGGATTAGTTCCTAATTCCCAGATTTAGCTCCCTGGCCATTATGGGCATGTAAAGAGTGAGCCAGTGGATAGGAGTTTCTCTCTCTCCCTCTCTCACTCTCTCTCACTCTCTATGTCTCTGTCCCTCTGCTTCCCCAATAAATAAATAAAAATTTTAAAACAGAAAAATAAACTTAAGGGTGCAGTTTTCCTCTGTGGATGAGTTAACAGCAGCAGGATCTGGACCTACAAGCCGTGAGAGGTTTGCTGCCATATTAAGCCAACTCCATCAAGAATCAGCTCTCGATTTTCCAGAAAAGCAACTTTCTAAGGAACTCATGTGGCAGCCTTTTTCTCCAGCAGCCATCGCAATATATGTCACCAAAACCACCATAGCATATTTTCAATGGGTGTATAATCCATTTTATATGATTTGTTGCAACTCATGCTTGTAAATTCCGCATGCTTTCCTCGAACTGGGGCTCCAGCTCTTGAGTGGATTTGGACAGGACTCTCGAATTCTTCTGCAAATGAAGCTTCTTAGAGATTAGGCTCCACTCGCTCTGCCTGGTGCTGGTTTGGCTGCTGATGGCTCACTTAACTCGTTTTGAATATTAATCATTGGGGGCCTACCGCGGTGGTGAGTGCTGTGGTGTACAAGTTGCCAGCCTCCTGAGTTCAGTGGAGTTAGGTGTTTCCCCGACTAGGGGAGCCTCAGCCCCTTCGCTGCCATGTCTGTCGCTTACTGGGGGAGTTTGCCGACGTCAGTGACATCTGCAGTCATACCCCCTCCCGCACCCAGGGAGGGTGGCAATTGCACTCTCGTGGGGTGGTGAGGAAAACCTGCGAGGCTCAGGTTAATGATTTTCTGCTGCTTTGTTCCATCACAGCTCCAGTGTTTTAATCACAGCAACCTTTTCATGTGAGAGGTCCTTTGAGACTCGAAATTGGCAACAATAAAATAACCTATCTTCTTTTCAGCAGTAATTGTAGCCATAATTGTGCCCTGGCGGGTGCGGTGAAGAGGGTTGGGGGCATCACAGCAACCCTCCCGGGCTCTCCATGTGGACACTGGCAATGTTAATGACAAACCTTGCTCTGCTCCCCTTCGTTCTGATCATCTGGAAGTCTGTGCCTAAAACCAAGTCTAATGGATTGTCAAGAACGCGCACAAGACATCTGATTCCATTATTGCCATTTGTTTTCAGGAGGCAGAGTTTTAATCATTTGCATGAATAACACCATGATGTATTCATGCCAATCCAATTCTGATAATGAATTTACATGATGGAAATTTCTTAATGATTTTGATGTCAGTGTTAATAGCAACATCTGATATTTGTTCTGTGGATGTTGACACAAATTTGACTTTTAATATTCTGTTGCCAACACTGCCGGCAGTATGAAATTATTTTGCAAGAAAATGGAAAATAACTATCAGGAAAGAAGCTCAATGGGAATGAAGGTGAAGGTTGTCGGAGGTTCATGGGCCTGGGACAAGGATGTGCACTCCCATGTGACAAATGACTCACCTGGACACATTCTGCTGCAAACGTGTCTGCCGGAGACGGTGGTTTCCGTAAGAAGCACTTGTGAAAGTATCGTACACACTGGGAGAAGCAGCTCTTGCAACTGCCTTTTCCTTGTTTTCATAATTTTATCTTCATAAAACAATCTTGCAAAACCTTTTGGAAGCCTTTTGTGCGCTACTTCTGTGTTTTTTTCTTGCTTTGCTAATTTAAACTTTTCTCAAAATGTTTAACAGGGAAAACGACACGCCGTTGTCATTTCGTCGTAAAGCACAAAACACGTTCCTGTGTTGAAGTCTGCATCTACTTTCATCTGTTTCAGTCAGCTAAGCGGTGGAGGAGCTAAAATCCATTAAGAGAACGGACCCTTTTCATTGTGCTGTTTTCTCCTCAGGTAACTCGTATGGAGGGCTCTATGGGAAACACTGTTCAGTTACAGTGAGGCCATTAGACAGTCTCAGAATCTAGGAGCCGAGAGTCGGAAACAGAAATGGGACCCATGCCACTCAGGTTCACATACGTGTGTGCGCGTGTGTGTGTGTCAGTTTACATATTTACACACAAACACACCCACCCACATCAATACATACAAGCAGACTCCAGAAAGGTCAAGAACAAATACATTTAGAAGATCAGTTCATTTTGATGCAAGAAAACTTGAAATCCCTGCATTGTTCTCTCATTTTCTCTAATTTGGAAGTCCCCTCACATATACACATTTACAAATCTATGCATATGTCTATATGTGTTTATACATGTTCTATATACATATTCAAATGTCTTTAAAAACATTATTTTTTTAATTATGTTATTTTCTAAGTGTAAAATACTGATTGGCCAGATCTTGGGTCATTTTCTGGTGCTGCCTTTTTTTTTTTCCCTTAGGTGCAATTAGACTAACAAGAAACTCACTTCCTTCCCTACCCCTAAAGTGGCATCAGCACTGTGTGCAGGGACACCACACGGTTCACCCAGAGTTCTTTGTAGCAATCACGGTGCGCAGTATCAGACCCTTGAATAAAGTGCGTGCTGGGAAATTAGGAGCGACGTGAGCGTCGGGCCTCGTGTCACTGTGGCTTTGGGGTTCAAGTGTTGTCTTGTGGTGGCCCCAGCGGACAGACGAACCCAGCGTGCAGCATTCCATGCAGCGTCTGGTATTTAGAATCTTCCTGACGCAGGAAAAGAAGGGAGGGAGCTCGTCTTCCACGATAGCAACTGCTTCTGTCTGCCCCGCCCTGTGCAGCAGCTCCGGGGCTGCCCACTGGCTGTGCACTGACTGGTGGCAGCTATTTGTGGGTTGAAAAGTGGCTTTCCTCGGGCAGTAATTAGCATGGAGCAAGCACGAAATAGAGTGTCTTTCCCCGTTGGACCAATCTTACTGCTTATCAAAAGCAGACAGCGTTCACTCTCACTGTCCTCTTATTTTTCTTCCATTTCACTTAAAAAATTAGAATAAAAATGTTTAAAAATTAGAAAAAAAAAGAACACAGTTGGATTAGATAGAAGGATGAGCTAATGCAATTTAGGCTCTGCCACTGAGCTACTTCAGCACACTTGATGTTGATAAATATTCCGAGAGGGTATATTTGGCTTGGTTAGTTATAAATAACTATACAGCTACTGAGAAGTGAAATATGATTTTGAATGTTTCTAAACAAAAGCCTTGTGTCATAATTTACTAAAACTGTGTGATCACATCCTATAGAATCTGATGCAATGGAATTAATCTTGATGATTTTAAAGTCTATCCCTAAGTAGTAGAAGATGGCCCAAGTCCTTGGGCCCCTGCACCCACTTGGAGACCTGGAAGAAGCTCCAGGCTCCTGGCTTCAAATCAGCCCAGGTCTGGCCATTGCAGCCATTTGGGGAATGAACCAGCAGATGGAGGACCTCTCTCTTGCTCTATCTTTGCCTTTCTGTAACTCTGCCTTTCAAATAAGTAAGTAAATCTTAAAAAAAAAATAAAGTCTATCCCTCTGGGTGTTATGTACCATGTTGGTCAAGGAAATATTTTTATAATTGGCACTTAATAATTTTTCAACACTGTCAGGGTATATTTTAATTCCTTTACTGATTTCTAATTGCTCTGAAAAATATGTTATGCTTGAGAGTATAGTGTGTAGTTCTTTACTGCATAAAAATTTAAAAATATGCTTTGGCTAAATCATGAATCACATATTAGGAGTAACAATGGGTATTTTTGCTTTAGATTTCCCCACATGCTATTTGCAATTGTTTACATATGTTAGAATCCCTTGCATTTAAATAGCTCATTATGCAAATGTTTAAGAAATAGTTGGTTATTTATTTTCATGGAAACTTCCACTCAAAAACTGAATTGAGATGATACCTTAACGTTGACTGTAATATTTTATGTTCAGTAATAGCACATAAATATTAATATCTAAATCAAATCATATTGAACTTTTGAAAGAAAAAATAATTGCTCGTGTTTTGAGAGAGATGATTACCATATTCTGTGAGCCCTCAGAAGGTAACAGGCCGTGGTCTTGCCTATTGGCTGGCCAGGAGAGTGCCCATGATGGAACTTTGGCAGCAAAGAAGTTAGTAGTTGTGACTATTTGGGCTGTATTTTATGTTTTGTGCCATTCTCATTTTGGGCATAGGTTTTGATTGGCTAGAATTCCCAAGAGCCAACAGTAGCCTGGGAAGCCAAGTCTAGTATCTTTGGCATGCAGGCTGTTTCTAGTTCGGATGTCAGTTGCTCACTCTGAGTTGCCCACTTCCAGTTTGGACCTATTGACTGGCCCTGCCTCAGAATGACGTCAGCTCTGTGAAGTGCAGCCACTGACTCAGAACCAGATGTGGGGTTAGAATTGCTGCACACAGACCAAAAGCTTGTGGGTCAAGTGTAGGACTTAGATCCAGGAAGCCAGAGTTCTTGTTGATAAACTTAACTCCACTTAACCTCTTTGAGCCTTGGCTCTCTTAGCAATAGAACAAGGGTGTCCAGAGTTTATTTAAGCCCTGATCTATCTTTCTTTCTTTCTTTTAAAGATTTATGTATTTATCTGAAAGTCAGAGTTAGAGAGAGAGAGAGGGAAAGAGAGAAAGGTCTTCCATCTACTGGCTTATTCTCCAGATGGCTGCTACAGCCAGGGCTGGGCCATGTTGAATTAAGGAGCCAGGAGCCAAGAGCTTTATCTGGGTCTCCCATATGGGTGTCAAGGGCCCAACCATTTGGGCCATCTTCTGCTTCTTTTCTCAGGGCGTTAGAAGGGAGCTGGATTGGAAGTGGAGCAGCCAGGACATGAACCAGTGTCCATATAGGATGCTAGCATCATAGGCAGCATCTTCACCTGCTATGCCACAATGCCAGCCCTAGTCCTGATATTTCTGATACTCACCAACTTAAAGCCTTTCAGATAAGCTGTGATTATCCCCAAAACAGAAAACCACATGCAGTAGAGAAAATGGAGACACCCCATCTGAGGTGCATTCTTGGAAAGAAAGACGTGGCAAGACAGTGAGGGACAGCAGAGGTGTGTCTGTGCCTAAGGAAGAGGAATATTTGCTCTGGATACCCCAAAGCACGAATAGTGTTCCAGGTAGATACTTGAGTGAGATGATCTACGTAAAAGACCTGCAAATAAAATACTCAAAAAATGAAAACTCTGGTTACCATCTTGTTTATGGGAGAAAGAGTGGTGCTACTATAAAAATAAGCTTCCTTGCCTCCCATTCCCCCATCTGAGTCTGGCTTCACAGACAGATGTCCCTGTTAATAGGTGATAGTTTCTGTGAGAACCTACCATGCCATATTAATGAAATGGGCTTGACATTATACTCAATGAACTAATATTTATTCTGTTAACTTCCCTGTGCTTTTGATTGGTATATTCCAACTTCCCTAGAGCAGTGGAGAGCAATGAACTTGAGTCAAGTTAACAACCTGTAGTCCCTCAACTGGGCACCTGCACTGTGGAAGCATCAGGAGAAAGATGGCTCTGAGACGCATCCAGGAAATATAAGCCAGTGCCTTAAAGAACATGGACAGTGTACAATCAGATCACAGGATGCTAAAAGCAGAATTTTCAACAACAAGGGAAGCAAAATAAATTTTAATTTTTGATTGAAGCTTTGGTTTCTTTGGAAAACCAGCTAAATTCCCAACTCTTATTAGTTAGGTATAAATTGGGTTTAAGGTGCTACTGCATGTGTGAAACGGGGTTCTGCAGGAAATGAGGCATGATGAAGGTCCTCACATGCTTTTACTCCTTTCCATGTTTTACCACTTCACTAAAGAACTTGGTGTTTTACAAATGCACGTTCCTTTGGAGGACTGTGGTTGTTTTAACTGAACAGAAATCTGACAGTGTGCCTGCAATGACTTCTGCCTTTCATGTCTGTTATTCCCTCTCCGGCCTCTGCAAACTTCCTGGAGCTTCCTGGAAGCACGGCTCACCTCCTACCTCCCCCACCTCTGCCCTAAACCCCTATTGTTTGGCATTTACTCCATCATTTTACTGAGTGTTTTTCTCAAGACATTCCTGGGTTTTTATTGGCCATACCTTGTCTTCTTCCCAAGGCTCACCTTCTTAGTTTGTTGCATCAGACTTGTGGAAACACTTTAAACTCAGGTTTCTCTCTACCCTTAACATCTTAACTCCATACAATCTTATCTCTGCATCTTCTCCAGTTAAATCCTCTGCTCCTTATTGGTTTTTCTTCCTTTGAATCTTAAAAGCTCACTACTCTGAGTTTCTTGTTTTTTTCATCCATTATTTACTTATTTCCTTGTTAACCTCAATGAATTCCTATGACTTCAACTCTATCAATTCTAGGCAGACATCTTTCGTATCTATTCTCTAGCTTTGCTTTCTACTAACTTCCTAACTTATATTCTAAACTTCCTACGAGGCACTGATGTTTTAAACTATAACAAACTCTAAAGTATTGAAAATTTGAGGAAGAAAATTTGGACATTCCAATAAAATCATATTAAGAATTTTGAAGTTGACTGGAGGTGGTGATGTAGGAGAAGGGCTAGCCAGATATAACCTCGCTATGTCATGTCTGAGTGGTGGAGGTGACCTTATGAAATCTTACCTTTGGCCCTCTCCTCTGGTTCTGTGAGTCTCATCTGTGTTTTTTCCTAAGACTTTTTAATTTTTAATTTAACAGTAGTAATTGTATGTATTTAAGAGATAGTTCAATACACTACAGAGGATCACACCAGAACCATTGGCATATGCCTCATCTGAGACATTTATCATTTCTCTGCATTGGGTACTCACAAAATTCTCTCTACCAACTACTTTGAAATAGACAACTAATTGCAGTCAACCATGCTTATTCTACTGCACTGTAGAACTTCAGAAGTTATTTTTCCTTTGCAGTCATGTCCCTGTATTCATTAAGCATGCTTTCTCCATCTCCCTCATCCCACATGGATCTCAGGCTTTGGATTATCACAGCACTATCCTCAATTGTCAAGCTATGGAACCAACAATGGTGTCTATCAACAGGTGAATGCTTACAGAAAATGTGGCATTTATAGATACGCAATGGAAAGAAGGAAATTCTGTAATTTGCAGCAACAGGGACAGAACTGGAGGACATTATGTTAAGTTGTGAAATAAGCCAGGCACAGAAAGACAAATACTGCAGGATCTCACTCACGTGTGGAAGCGAAATGTTGAACTCATAGAAGCAGAGAGACTCATCTCTTTCTTCGAGCTCTCATCAGCTCCTTGATTTCAACCTCTGAGCAGATGATCCAAGTGCTCTCTCTAGACACGATCGCCACGTCCATGGAGGACTTGCCTCCTGGCCACTCCTGCTTATCTTCTGGCTCTTTACATTCCATACATCAAAAATGAAACACAACCTTCCTCCCCAAATTGCATTTCTTCTTAATATTTACTTGTGTGAGTGGCCATATGACAATTATAATGGCCCAAGTTTGATACCGCAGTCCATCTCTTTTCACTCTCATGTAAGCCTCCTATGCATGTCAAGTCCTGGCTGGTGTTTGTGGGCTTGAGCTGTGTACGATTCCTTATGTCTCCTTCCTCTTCCACAGTTTCCAGGGTCACCTTTTCGGCTTGCACCCCTTGTGGTGAATGAGGTTATTGCTCAGGCAACTCATGCTCTCTTGCCCATTTCCATCAGAGAGGTGGACATCCCCAGTGTGTGCATATTGAGCTTGACCAGACAACTTGTTAGCCAAGGGGGTGGGGGCAGGTCGGATGCAACACTCGGATGGACTGATGCCCGCCAGTTTCTGTCCTTGCCTGGAGAAGATCGTGTCAGTATGGGCCCACTGGTTCTAGGAGGGGATGTGAGCCCCATGGAAGTCTAGGTCAACTGACTCCCAACCAACCTCAAGGTCTGTGGCCCAAAAGAGGCTCACCCGTGTTTGTCACCATAAAATTAGGAACTTTCTCAAATCATGTTAGAGTCCTTAGAAAATTGTGTTCTTTCATTTCATTAATCATTTTTTATGTTTTTACATTTGCTACTTTCAGTTTAGAAGTAACTACACTGGGGCCAGCATTGTGGACCTCAGCAGGTAAAGCCGCCGCCCATAATGCCGGCATCTCCTATGTGCACAGGTTTGAGTCCCGGCTGTTCCACTTCTGATCCAGCTCCCTGCTGATATGCCTTGGAAAGTAGCAGAGGATGGCCTGAGTGCTTGAGCCCCTGCACCCAGGTGGGAGACCTGGAAGAAGCTCTAGGTACCTGGCTTCAGACTGGCCCAGCTCCAGCCATGGCGGCCATTCAGGGAGTGAATCAGCAGATAGAGGATCTCTCTCTCTCTCTCTCCCTCTCTCTCTGAAAACTCTGCCTTTCAAAAAATAAATCTTTCTAAAAAGAGGGTTTTACTTAAAAAAGAAGTAAATACACAGTGTACTTTTAATCTAAATGTTTTAGACAGCAAAATTCCCATGAGAACTCTATGCTTATAGTGAGTTTTAGCAGGAAAATGTGTCATGACTTATGGCATTCCTTGGGAGTTCTGAAGGAGGCATTCCACCCAGAACTAGGTGTCATGAGCGCATCAGGATTAAGAAATAAAGTTTAAAAGTGAAAGGTAGTGGTTGGAGTAACCAGTGTTAAACAACCCCAGAATGTCTACACTGTCCAACCCACTCCTCCTATGGTCCATGAACTGGCAAATGCTTATTGTGTGCTCTGGTGAAAGCTCTTGGGACATTAGAAATGTCAAGGACATGTTTTCTAGATGAGTTATGTCAGTGAGCTGGTGCCTTTTCCTTACCAGTGATTCACCAAACACATCACTGGACACATTGTTTAATTACAGCAGGACTTAGCATGCTTTAGGAAATCATCTGAGTCTTAGAAAATTGGAGCAAATGACTCACTTCCTAAGAGAGAATGTGGAGGTCAGACTGGTACCAGGGAGGGTGAAACCATTGCCTGTAAGGCATCTGCAGTCCCAGCTCCCTCCCCATAATCCCACAGCTGACGAGGTGCCATCTTGACCTGGCACTACGCTGCATCTGCCCTTCGACTTTGTCACATGCAGTGCTGAACCGGAGAAGACGTAGTGGAATCCAAAGTGGGATATAACCAAATCACTGTGGCTCATTCTCATAAGCCGTGGGAAAAGACAGGATTATAAACGAATGGTTTTATAACCACTCGCTGAGTGTTCTGCACATCATGTCAGCTTTGATTACTGCGCAAAAATAAAAATGCCTGCTTCTGTGTTGTGGACTCGCCAGCCTTGCTCCATGGTAGGAAACGGTCATATGCTAGGATATGTGTGTTTCCATACAAAAATGTTCGGGGTGGCTTATTAAATTGTGTCATTCTGGGATACACAGTAACATTAAGTGACTCTCTTTAACACAAATGCACACACACACACACATACACAAACCAGATTGCATAAATGTGTAACTTTATATTTCTGTCACTATTATTAGTAAATAGGAAATGAAGTTACAATCCTTGAAATTATAATGGCAAGTGCACAAAGACACAGTTGCTGGCACAGAATTCAATTAACAGATAGCAATCACCCTTGGGTGACTGTGTGAGGTAGAAATATACAGGCATGCTAATAAGTAATATCTTAAAGCCACCGCCTTTATCAGCCAGCAGCCAGACACGGGCACAAGTGTGGGCAGACAGCATTGCTTCAGGATATTTAATACAAGCCAGCTCTCTCCATTTAAGGATTTGTGTTTAATCATTCAGCAGCATTTTAAAACATCCCGGCTGGCAAGCTTTTCAAACAGAACTGTTTCCGGCAGAAGACTGCAAGGAGTAATTTTGCTCCACCTGGTTGAGAAAGATGGGAGGGGCGGGAATGAGAAGTTGAGGAATAATCACCCTGCGTTTGTATTTTTAAATGCTTTTCCTTGTCATTTTCTGACCTTTGAGCCACTCTGGTGTGCATCTGCTGGGTGAATCATGGCTTCATCTAAGGAAATGTACAGAAGGCATTCATTAACGCAAGATGGCTGGATGACTGACTTCTGCAAAACCACCCCTTCTCTGAGACAGGCTGAGCAACGCTTGCAGCCACGTTGTTCCAGGTTGGAATTCTAGTTAAAGGGGAGCACAAGGGGGTGTTCAGAAATTGGAGGCTGTTTTCCTCCCTTAGCTTCCAGAAAGGTGGAGATATTTCTGCATTTGGTCGCAGAAATCTCTCAAGTATCTGTCAAGATACTTTGTGTTGAGTACAAGCAAAGAGAAAAAGAAGATGGCTGTGCAGTGAGATTTGGTGTAAGCTTTGTGGGGAGTGGGAATTTATCCAAAGAATGCAACTCCTTGCCTTTTACACAAAGGGAATTTGTCTTCTATTGAAGTAAACTGGAAGCCATACTTGCAGTGCCAAGATGAAAATCCTCATCACACAGACTGGTTCAAGAACAGCTAGTCTGCTGGCATCTAGGTCAGTCAATTTGCACGGAGGTGTTGTGTCATGTTTGCTACAAACAGATGCCTGGGGGAATCTGACTGCCAAGCAGATGGCAGCGTTGGGAGAGTGTCTTCTCCATTTGGTGCCTTGACTCAATCAAACCTCCTGGAAAGCCCTTAGTTCTATAAAGCACGGAAGGAGGGAGGAGAAGGAAGATGAGAACAAAACAAGAGCTTGGCTGAAGGTGCAACTAAGTAAGGTGTGAGTAGATTTCACTTTAACTGCCATTTTCAAGTACGTAGATCCTTTTGACTATTTCTCCTTCAGGTTCAAGCTTTGAGGTTTTCAAAGTAAGAAAAGAGATGGAACAAAAAGCATAATAGAAGCTGTTGTTGAGTCCAGAAATTGAATGCTTCTTAGCTACTGGAATTTTAAGCATGCAGATTTTTTTCTGGAGTATGAAAATGGCACTGCTAGTCTGAGATTGAAGTGCCATTTGCAGTTTCCAGCATTAACTGACCAAGAGTCGGCTTTTGGGGATCAAGACTGTGCTCCCTGCTGGACTGTTCAGTGACCACACCCTCCCGGCAAGATCTGAACTGTGGTCTTAGGAGGCTGCCCTCTTGACAAAGTCCCCATGCAATTACCCTTGGAGGAGAACCTTCTCTGCAACAAAAGGGCCGTTTGTTTCCATGGGGAGGCTAGGAAGACAGTGCCAACATTTCAGCCCAGCTTCTGTGGTTTCTCTTCTGTAGGGTAACTCTGGCTGCACAGGCCTGGAGTCACTTCACTGATCTCGAGAAGGATCGACTGTGGCCAGATTTGCAAACAACAGAATCTCTTAGATTTCCATCTACAGCTTCACAGAGAATGGTGTGGACAGTAGAGTGGACGTTCTCTGAGAGTCAGCTGGGGACTTGGGTGTTTGGGTGCAAGATGAGCCTTCAAGTCCTCTAAAGAAAAGGTGCAGGAGTTCCTACGGACTTTGCCCATTTCCTCAATGTTTATTAACCTTGGCTACATCCAGAACTGTGCATTCCTTTCAAGTCTCATTGCAATAGACCCTTTACTAAATTTCTATCCTTCTTGAAAGAAACAACAGTTGGTGTGGGGTCAAGACATAGAAATTGTGAAATACAGGAAAGAAACAAATACTTCTGCTTGTTAAAGAGTTAGCCTGCGGGCTGGAGTTGTGGTGCAGCAGGCTGCTCCCTAGCCTTGGATGGCAGCATCACATAGGAGCACCAGTTTGAGCTCCAGCTGCTTTGATTCCGACCCAGCTCCCTGCTAATCCACCTGTAAAAGTAGCAGAAGGTGGCCCAAGTGCTTAGGGGTGCTGCCACCCACATGGGAGATGGAGTTCCTGTCTCTTGGTTTTAACTTGTCCATTCCTGGCCATTGTGGCCATTTGGGGAATGACCAGTGGACAGAAGATCTTTCTCTCTCTCTCTCTCTCTCTCTCTCTCTCTGTGTGTGTGTGTGTTTATCCCTCTGACTCTGTTATCTGTCTTTCAAATAAATAAAATAAATCTTAAAAAATAAGTCATTATCAAGGCTTTTCAAGATGCATAAATACAGGCACTCAACACTCACCTCCTCCTGCACAGAGAAGAACCAAAACAACAAGCAACCAGGTGCATTTTGAAATGAAGAGGAAGAGAAAAACTGGGTGAGGAGTTATGGGATGGACATGGAAGGAGAGGAACAAAGCCAGCCAGCATCCGCGGCCCCCGTCCTGGCCCCATGGAAGGGGAATTCATATTGCAAGGGTGGGTGAAGAGGAGAGCCTCCGTGGAACTCACCTCAGTGAACCCCGTGCTGACCACCGTGGCCAGAGGAGCTCACAGTCCTCAGAGAAGGGAATCCCAGAAGGGGGTGCCTGGCGTTGGACTCCGGGTAGACTGGCTTCAGAGAAGGCACTCTCCTCATCTCTCCCTCATCAACTGACGCTGCGGCTGCACCAATGTTCTGCTTTTTTAAACTGAATTTCTTAAAAAAATTTCAAGATGTAACAATAATTGTATATATTTATGGGTTGCTGTGTGACATCGCCATGCGTGTCTCCATCAGGATAGTCAACATTGCCCTGTCTTTGACATCATGTTATGATTGGAAACTTGGAGCTCTTTTCTTCTTTTTGCTCATAAAACGTAGGCTAGGCTATGTTGAGCTATCACTGCCCGGCTGTGTGACTCTGCAGCAGAACACCCGTTGCTTTGATCTAACTCTGATTCTGGTGTTCATGACCCGAATTCCCTCTGCTCTCTTCTTCCCTTTCCAGCCTGTAGTAATCACTATTCAGTATTCAGATATATGTTTTTTTTTATTTGCACATATGAGAGAGAACATGTGGTGTTTGTCTTCCTGTGTATGACTTATTTCACTTACGATGCCCCCCAGTTTCACTAATTTTGCGGCAAATTACAGTAGTTCACTATTTTGATAGCTTAATATCATCCCACTGTGTGTGTGTGTGGGGGGGGGTGTCTCATTTTCCTTAGCTCGTCATCTGCTGGTGAACACCTAGTTTGGCTGCCCGTGTTGGCTGCTGTGAACAGCAGTGAGCGCGGCAGAGCTGATTTCTGTTGCATGTGGTCAACTGATTTTTGACACAGACCTGAAGGAATACATTGGAGACAGGACAGTCTTTTCAAGAAATGGTGTGGGCAAAACTGGATTGACATAAATAGAGATTTAGAAGAATGAAATAGATCCTTACCTCTCGTGATACACAAAATTCAACTCAAGTTGACCAAAGACCTAAATATGAGACCTGAAATCACTACAAGGAAAAATCAGGGGGGCGGACGGTGCTGTGGTCTAGCAGGTAAAGCCTCTACCTGCAGTGCTGGCGTTCTATACGGGTGCCAGTTCGAGTTCCGGCTGCTCCACTCCCAATCTAGCTCTCTGCTATGACCTGGGAAAGCAGTAAAAGATGGCCCAAGTCCTTAGGTCCCTGCACCCACATGGGAGACCTGGAAGAAGTTCCTGGCTCCTGGCTTTGGATTTTCTCAGCTGCGGCTGTTGCAGCCATCTGGGTAGTGAACCAGTGGATGGAAGACCTCTCTCTCTCTCTCTCTGCCTCTGCCACTCTGTATCTTTGCCTTTCAAATAAATAAATAAATCTTTTCTTTTTAAAAAGAAAACATAAGGGAAACACCCCAAGACATTGAGGAGGCAATTGCTTTTTTTGGCTAAGACCCCAATAGCACAGGCAACAGAAACAAAGCTAGACAAGCAGCATTATATCAGAATCAGAAGCCGCTGCAGAGCAGGGCAAGCAGACAGCAGTGTTGGTATCTTGAGAAAGGAGTCACTCTCAGAATCCATACTGCCTTAGTGGACAGAATCCATGCTTATGTCCATCTGGGGATCCCACAGACATCCCACCACATTAGCGAAAAAGAAGCACAGCCTTGCAAATCCAAGTAGACCCAGTAGAGCAGCGGCACCTTCAACACTTTAGTCCCTGTGTGCTGCACACTACAAGGGACAGAGCATACGGAATAGCACGGAGGTGCTACCCTCAGCATCCTACAAATAAGGGGACTTCCCTCTTCAGGCTTGGGATGCAGCCTCCTCCACTCCCTCTCTTCTCTTCAACTCCCTGGAGCTTAGTTGCCCCCCCACCCCCCCCACACCCAGACTCCTGGAAAGAGCTTCCTTGACTCCAGCCCAGACCTCCACCCAGTAGCACTCAGGACTGTGCTCATACTGATCTGCCCATCAGTGTTGCTCCCATGGCTCTGACGCCACAGACGGTGACTGGAAGACCATAATCCCAGCCTAACCTGCTTCCCAGTGTCACTCCCATGCTCTTGGCTATTTGATCGGATGCTGGTATTGTATGCCACAGAGGATGGAATCTGAGAAATCCTGCTCTATCTCAGGTACACCCCACACCCCCACGACTACCATCAATAATGGCAAAAGAAGGTGTAGGAGAAATACACCACAGAGTCCAATTGCAAGTAAGGCAAAGTAGCCACAAACCAAGACCTGAAGACATATCTTAAAAAAAATCTTCTAGCACTAGAACCACTATTCCACAGTGATAAAGACAAATGATTCATCAGATGAGGAAGAGTATAAGAACACAAGTGTAAGTAAGTATGAGAAAAACAAGACAATATGATGCCTCCAAATGAAGACATTATAAACACATTGTATTTTAGTAACAGACCCCAGTGAAAAGGAGACTGAAAATGTTAAATAAAGAATTCAAAAGGATGTATACTCTAAGATATACAAGAGAATACAAACTAATAGTAGAATGAAGTCAGGAAAACTATGGATGATGCAAATAAGACATTCAGCAAAAAGATAGAGATCTTGAAAAAAGACCAAACAGAAATCTTGGATATGAAGAACACAATAAATAAAATAAAAATGTAGTTGAAATCCCTGAGAACAGAGTAGATCAAACAGAAGAAAAAATATCAGGAAAGAGATTTTAATACCATAATAGTGAAGATGTTCAATATCCCACTTCGATAATGGACATGTTACCTAGAAAAAAATTACAGGAATGTTGGAGATAGACTATGCTATAGATCAAATTGATCTTACAGACACTTCTGCAACATTTCATCAACAGTTGCAAAATACACATTCTTCTCATCAGCACATGGAACAGTCTATACTGGATCATATTTAAAGCCACAGAAGAAATCTCAATGAACTAAAAAAGCCAAAATCATATTATAGAATTTTCTGAGCGTAATGAAGTTAAACTAGAAATCCACCACAACAAAAATGTTAGTTATTAGACAAATACAAGGAGACTGAATGACATGCTTCTGTATAAGCTACGGATTACTGAAAAAATCAAAAGGAAAAGTAACATTTTAAAAACAAATTAAATGGAAATAAAATATACAACATATCAAAAGTTAGAGGATATAGCAAAAGCAATACCAAGAGGGAGTTTCATAGCAATAAGTGTCTACATACGAAAAATAGAAAGATTTCAAAGACAACCGAATGAAAAACCTCAGAGAACTAGAAAAGCAAGGACAATCAAATGCAAAATTAGTAGAAGGAAATAAATGACAATGGTCAGAGCAGAAATAAATAAAATAGAGGCTAAAACAACAATAACAAGATCAATAAAGAGTTGATTTTTTGAAAATATAAATAAAATTAAAAAACCTTTAGCTGGAATGAGCAAGAAAGGGATAGAGAAGACTGAAATCAGTAAAATCAGAGACAAAAAAGGAAAGATCAAAACTGATACCACAGAAGTTCAAAGCAATCATTAAGGACTGTTGTGAACAATTTCACAACAACAGACTGGAAGAAATGGGCAAATTTCTGGATACATAAAAGTGACAAAATTGAACCAAGAATACTAGAAAATCTGAACACAGCAATAAGAAGTGATGAGATTGGGTCAGTATTAAAACATCTCCCTGAAAATAAAAACCCAGGAGTAAAAGAGTTTTCTGCTGTTTTACCATACTTTTTAGGATAATTTTTTTAACTTTTATTTAATGAATATAAATTTCCAAAGTACAGCTTATGGATTACAATGGCTTCCCCCCCATGACGTCCCTCCCACCCACAACCCTCCCCCTTTCCACTCCCTCTCCCCTTCCATTCACATCAAGATTCATTTTCGATTCTCTTTATATACAGAAGATCAGTTTAGCATACATTAAGTAAAGATTTCAACAGTTTACTCCCACACAGAAACATAAAGTGAAAAATACTGTTTGAGTACTAGTTATAGCATTAAATCTCAATGTACAGCACACTAAGGACAAGATCCTACATGAGGAGTAAGTGCACAGTGACTCCTGTTGTTGACTTAACAAATTGACACTCTTGTTTATGGCATCAGTAATCACCCTAGGCTCTAGTCATGAGTTACCAAGGCTATGGAAGCCTTTTGGGTTCGCCAACTTCAATCTTATTCCAACAGGGTCATAGTCAAAGTGGAAGTTCTCTCCTCCCTTCAGAGAAAGGTACCTCCTTCTTTGATGACCCTGTGCTTTCCACTGGGATCTCACTCGAGGAGATCTTTCATTTAGGTTTTTTTTTCCCCAGTGTCTTGGCTTTCCATGCCTGAAATACTCTCATGGGCATTTCAGCCACATCTGCCTACCTTCAGGGCTGATTCTGAGGCCAGAGTGCTGTTTAGGACATCTGCCATTCTATGGGTCTGCTGTGTATCTCACTTCCCATGTTGGATCGTTCTCTCCCTTTTTTATTCTATCAGCTAGTATTTGCAGACACTATTCTTGTTTATGTGATCCCTTTGGTTCTTCGTCCTATCATTATGATCAATTGTGAACAGAAATTGATCACTGGGACTAGTGAGATGGCATTGGTACATGCCACCTCGATGGGATTGAATTCGAATCCCCTGGTATGTTTCTAACTCTACCGTTTGAGGTAAGTCAGCTTTAGCATGTCCCAAATTGCACATCTCTTCCCTCTCTTTTTCCCACTCTAATATTTAACAGCGATCACTTTTCAGTTAAGTTTCAGCATTTAAGAAGAATTGTGTATTGATTACAGTATTCAACCAAAAGTATTAAGTAGAACAAACAAAAAAAATACTAAGAGGGATAACATATTAATTTGTTCACAACAGTCAGGGTGAGGGCTGATCAAGTCACCGTTTCTCATAGTGTTCATTTCACTTTAACAGGTTTCCTTTTTGGTGCTCAGTTAGTTGTCACCTATCAGGGAGAACATGTGGTATTTGTCCCTTTGGGATTGGCTTGTATACTTTTATATAACTACAGAAAACTTGCTGAAAATGAAATCACAACCACGGTCGCGTTCATAACAACTCCAAAGATTAAAATAAAAATACTTAGGAATAAATTTAACCAAGGATATGGAAGACTTCTACAGTGCAAATTATATGACATTGAAAAAAGAAGTTGAAGACGACAAACAGAAATGTAAAGACCTACTAGAATTGGAAGAACTAATATTGTTAAAATATCAGTTTCACCCAAAGGAATGTACAGAATCAATGTGTTCTCCATCAAACTACCAATGACTTTTTTTTTTGAAGAATTGGAATCAGCAGTCCTAAAATTCATAAAGTGGCACTAAAGTCCCCAAAGAGTCAAAGAAATATTGAGCAAAAATACACCAAACTAGGGGCCAGTGCTGTAGTGTGGTAGGTTAAGCCTCCTCCTGTGGCGCCAGAATCCCATATGGGCACTGATTCATGTCCTGGCTGTTCCTCTTCCAATCCAACCCTCTGCTTATGACCTGGGAAAATCAGTGGAGGGTGGTTCACGTCCTTCAGCCCCTGCACCCACGTGGGAGATCTGGAGGAACCTCCTGGCTCTTGGCTTTGGATCCACCTAGCTCCGGCAAGTTGCTGTGGCCATTTGAGGGGTGAACCAGCAGATGAAAAATCTCTCTCTTTGTCTCTCCCTTTGTCTCTCTGTAACTCTGCCTCTCAAATAAATACATAAATCTTGAAAAAAGTAAACCAAACAAAACAACAACAAAACTGGAGGCATGGCAATACCTTATTTCAATAAATACTACAGAGCTATAGTAACTAAAAAGCATGATACCAGTATAGCAAACAGACCGACACACCAATGGAACTGAATACATATCCCAGAAATGAATCTACACATCGTGAACCAACTGATTCTCAGCTGAGCCAACAAAATATACAGTGGAAAAAGGACAGCTATTTCAATAAATAATGCTGAGAAAACTGGTTATCTGCTTGCAGAAGACTGAAGCAAAAGCTCCCCTCACACACCCAACCTCTCGTGCTATACGAAAGTCAACTTGAAATGGATCCAAGACCTAAATGCACGACATGATATTATGAAACTCCAGAGGACATAAGAAAAACAATTCAAGACATTCTTTAGGCAATGGGGATTATATCCAATGATGAACAGTTATCAGAGTGAAGAGATAACCAAGAGAATGAGAGATAACATCTCCAAAGCACTCATCCAACAATGGAGTAATATGCAGAATATCAAGGAACTAAAAATAATGCAACACCAAAACCCCAAGCAATATAGTTAAGAAATGGGCCAATAATCTGAATGAATGTTTCTTTTTTTAAATTTGAAAGTCAAAATTACACAGAGAGGAAGAGACAGAGAGAGGGCGAGAGAGAGAGAGAGAGAGAGAGAGAGAGAGAGAGATTTCGTCTACTGATTCACTCCCTAAATAGTCACAATGGCCATCTGGGGTTCGGCCTATCTGAAGCCAAGAGCCAGGAGCTTCTTCAGCGTCTCCTATGTGGGTGCAGGGGCCCAAGGACCTGGGCCATCTTCCCCTGCTTTTGCCAGGTGCATTAGCAGGGAGCTGGATTGGAAGTGGAGCAGCTGGGACTTGAACTGATGCTCATATGGAATGCCTGCTTCAGAGGTGACGGCTTTATCCTCTATGTCACAACACTGACCCCTGAATATTTCTCAAAAGAAGAAATATAAATGTCCAAAAACATATATGAAAAAATCCATCACTATCACTAGACATCAGCGAAATACAAATCAAAACAGAAGTGAGATATCACCTCACCATAGTTAGATTGGCTATTATCAAAAAGACAAAAATTAACAAATGCTGACAAAGATATGATGAAAGGGGAACTCTTATATATTGTTGCTTGAAATGCAAATTAGTATAGAAATTATGGGGAATAGTATGGTGGTTTCTCAAAAAACTATAAATAGAGCTGCCAGATGACCCCAGGCTGACTGCACAATTTGAAGAGTTTTTGCTCTGTGCATGTGTTGAAATATTGTGTTGTTTCCTGTAACTGTGTACAAGTATTATATGCTAACTAAAAATAGAAAATAGCAATGTAAACTTTGGGATCCATTTTACTCATTCCTCCTTCATGAGAATTTTTATCATGGATTTGTGCAAATTTTCCTTGACTTTTTTTTGAATTAACATTTCAAAGTCCTAGACTGTCAGGTTTGCAAAAAGCTGTGTTTAATTTGACCTAAATTTTCTCTGTTTTACATTCTTTCTTTTTTTTTTTTGACAGGCAGAGTGGACAGTGAGAGAGAGAGAGACAGAGAGAAAGGTCTTCCTTTTGCCGTTGGTTCACCCTCCAATGGCCGCCGCGGCCGGCGCACCGCGCTGATCCGATGGCAGGAGCCAGGAGCCAGGTGCTTTTCCTGGTCTCCCATGGGGTGCAGGGCCCAAGCACCTGGGCCATCCTCCACTGCACTCCCTGGCCACAGCAGAGGGCTGGCCTGGAAGAGGGGCAACCGGGACAGAATCCGGCTCCCCGACCGGGACTAGAACCCGGTGTGCTGGCGCCGCTAGGCGGAGGATTAGCCTAGTGAGCCGCGGCGCCGGCCTCTGTTTTACATTTCTAAGAGTGTCTCCTAATTCTGTAGAATTTTTTTTTTTGACAGGCAGAGTGGACAGTGAGAGAGAGAGACAGAGAAAAAGGTCTTCCTTTGCCGTTGGTTCACCCTCCAATGGCCACCGTGGCTGGCACGCTGCGGCTGGCGCGCTGCGCTGATCTGATGGCAGGAGCCAGGTGCTTCTCCTGGTCTCCCATGGGGTGCAGGGCCCAAGCACTTGGGCCATCCCCCACTGCACTCCCTGGCCACAGCAGAGAGCTGGCCTGGAAGAGGGGCAACCGGGACAGAATCCGGCGCCCCGACCGGGACTAGAACCTGGTTGCCAGTGCCACAGGTGGAGGATTAGCCTATTGAGCAGCCTAATTCTGTAGAATTTAAACAGAGATTGTTGGCTAACTGATGGCTTGCCCCACCCCTACATTTCAAGGTTTTGTAGACTTCAGATCTTGATGAGCCTGGCTGGAATAAAGGGCATTGTGTCAATGAGCGAGTGGGAAACATTGGAGCTGGCGACTTCGGGCAGCAGGACTTCCCACTGGGAACTGTCTGAGCTCTGGTGTTGGGATGGAGAGGAAGCAAGGACCTCTAATTGAAGCCTTCTTCCAGGAGCTTTAGGACAATGGGTCACTGGGCATCCAGAAGGAAAGGGGGCTATGGAGGCATGAGCAGAACAGTCATCTCATCAGTGCTGGGAAGTCTAAAGAAATGGATTGAACTCTAGAGACACAGGGAAGAGTTGGCATGTCCCAGGTGAAAGTTAACAAGAGCCTCTAACAATGACAGTAGAATTCTTGGAAGGAAATACAGAGAGTAATGCAAGAAAAAAATTCAGAAGGAAACGTAAAAGAACTTAGTCACTGGTCTGGAGGGTGAGGGAGGCAGGGTGTTGAAGCAACAGTGCATGAGCTATGGAGAAGGAAGAGAGTGAAGCAGAAGGAACAAGTTTAACATCTGGCAAGTACGAGGTCAGCGGCAATTTTTGAGATAGTCATTTCAGTAAAGCATTGGGGGGGAAGCAAGCAGATGGTGAGAGGGGCAGGAGGCTCTCACTGCTTTTCAAAGATGCTTGGCCTTGGAATAAAACAGACAAAGGGAGTTGTAAGATCCCCCAGTAGAATCAAGCTTCTTTGTGGGCAGAGAGGAAAGGGACATTGAGAGAGAAAAGACTGAAGATTAAATAGCACAGGTAATTAGTGGAGGAAGGTCGTGCAGACAACAGTTGGGATTTGGAGTTGAGCCAGGGCCAGGAAGAAAAGTCCTTCTACCTCAGAGCTCGAATTGCCCCATAGATAATGAGGTGGGCTTGCCTTTTGGCCCCCGGTTCCTGCTCTGTAAATTGGGGTTAATCATGCCCATTAGCAAAGTCATAGTTAAAGTGAGGGACACAAGTGCATGCAGTTTGCTTAGCACGGGGTCTGAACACCAGGCACAGGAGTGCAGAAGAACACAATAACAACGGTGATGAAAACGTTTGTTTAAAGGGCCCAGCACAGTGCCTGGGACACAGACTTCATGCTTTACCACGCAGTGCCATTAGGTCAGTAGCTGGTGCTCAGTGCTGTCTGTGCAGATCCTTGTAGGGACCTCCAGTGGAGAAACAGCAGCAGGGAA